AGGGTTTATCTTAAAGAAATAATTAGGAATCTGTGCAAAGACCAATAAATCAATGTATTCATTATAGAACTGTTTTTAACAGCTAATAAAGGAAAAAAGACAAAACAAAAAGTCTCAGTGTAGGCGGATCCCTGGGTGGTGCAGCGGTTTGGCGCCTGCCTTTGGCCCAGGGCATGATCCTGGAGACCCAGGATCGAATCCCACGTCGAGCTCCCAGTGCATGGAGCCTGCTTCTCCCTCTGCCTGTGTCTCTGCCTCTCTCTCTCTGTGACTATCATAAATAAATAAAGAAAAAAAAAATCTCAGTGTAGTCATTTGGTTAATAATAGTGGTGTGTGTGTGTGTGTGTGTGTGTGTGTGTGTGTGTGTTCCCAAGTACCTTTCACACTGTCTTTAAGGGCTCCCTTTCCAAAAGCTAGGAACAAAACTACCAGCCTTGTATAACAGGGTCCTCATGATCAGGATTCCCAGCTCTGTGTCCTGTAGACCCGTCTGCTATGTCTTATGTTACTTCCACAGGAAACTTCTCACTACTTCCCTGTCATACCTGCTTTGATCCAGAGAGTTTGTACATCATGACTCTTGCCCCCAAGATGCTCTCCCGCTCTCTGGTCCCTCCATCTGGAAAACTTCTGTTCATGCTCAGAGGCCCAGTTCATTCGGTGCCTCCCTTTGAGGGCTTTCCTCAAATTCCCTGAGGAGGGTCTAGTTTCATCGTTCCTTTATGTTTCTGTCATGACACTTAACATACTACATCCTGCTTCATTCGCTTATGAGTTGGTTAAGTCATCTATGCTTCAGGACAGGTGCCATGCGGTACTCCTCCCTGTAGCCACAGAACCTAGTGCAGAGCTCTGTACCTGGAGGATACTCAGCTGTTCGCTGCATAACTGAGAGGATGGGCCACGTGAGCAGGTGACCATGAAATATGGGCACTGGGCTCTGAAAGGTGAGAAAATAGTATTTAATATTGAAGTCTAACAAAATATTAATCTAATGATATTAAGCTACACTATAGTTAGGCATGAATGGACAGCAGTTTACATAAGTATGTAAAACTGCTGTGACATAAATCCCATTTTTTTTAAGATTTATTTATTTAGCCATGATAGACATAGAGAGAGAGAGAGGCAGAGACACAGGAGGAGGGAGAAGCAAGCTCCCTGCCAGGATCCTGACATGGGACTCGATCCCAGGACTCCAGGATCGCACCCTGGGCCAAAGGCAGGTGCCAAACCACTGAGCCACCCAGGGATCCCCATAAATCCCATTCTTAAATAGTTTTTATTTTCCTGCTTTGCATTTATTTGAATCGAGGATACCTGATAAAGTGGATAATTTATTTTAATTACATTCACATAAGGGCATATATGTACATGCAATGCTGATTACTGTTATTGGAAGCCAAAAACTTTGTAAAATATAGGCTATGCCAATTAGAAGCATTTGGGAACTAAAGTGTATAATTATATGTGTGTGTGTGGGGGGGGAATTACTGGAGATGACCAGAATTAGCAGAACTAATGCAAGAACAGCAGCAAGAACCCGAAGGCCTGGGGAAAATTCTCCAGTTATTTAAGACTTAAAGGTGTGTGTGTATGAGGTGAAATGGCACATATTTCATGAAAATGGAGGGGGCTGTGGACTTAAACAAGATAGCCTGGCTAAAGTCACCTGTGACAGCACAAATGCACAAGCAAAAACACAAGGCCGTGATGAGGACAATGTGAAGCTCCTGCCACAGCCAGTCCTTTATTTAACCTCTGTAAGGGGGGGATGGGGGCCACCAGTGAGTGGAAAGCACTGAATGGCAACTGATCCCACGGGTGTACCCCAAATTCAAATGAGTGGGCGTCATTTTTTGGCATCAATAAATGTTTACATTGGTCTACGATGCCAGTTATCCATTGTTTGCTATCTTGGTCTTTAAAAGCTGCTCATCTTAAGCCCAAGGGGATTTTCTGGAAGGTTCCTTGGAGAACAGGGAAGGATAAGCATGTCTCCAGACAGCTCCCTTTAAGGGTACCCCAGGCCCACTGAGGGTGTCTCAGCTGCCTGCACCAACTGGGAATGGGGTAGAGGCTTCTCCCCCTCTCAGGCTAACACGGGTCTGGAACCTTGAAGAAGGGTCCGTCAGTTCTTTATTCTAGGTGCATAAGCAGCAGAATCCAAATCGCACAGATTCGGCAGGTGGGCTGATCTGACTGCACCACTCACCAAGAGGCCTTTCCTTCCCACACAGACACCTCCTTACTTTTTCTTCTTCTTCTTCTTCCCTTTTTCTTTTAAAAATTTATTTATTTAAGAGAGAGAGAGTGAGCCAGCAGGGGTAAGGGCAGAGAGAGAGGAGAGGAAGAGAAGCAGACTCTCCGCTGAGCGGGAGCCCCATGAGGGGCTTGACCCCATGACCTGACCCAAAATCAGGAGCTGGATGCTTAGCCTGCTGAGCCGCCCAGGGCACCCCAGCCTCCTTCCTTTTTCATGACACCCTCTCTGCACACTCAGTGCCTCAGCCACTCTGACCAGGTTGCCAGCAAAATATAAAACCAGTTAAATGAGAATTTCATACAAATAATAAATAATTTTTTTAAAAGATTTTTTATTCACTTATTTGAGAGAGAAAGAGAAGCAAGCAAGCACAAGCAGAGGGAGGGGCGGAGGGAGAGAGAGAAGCAGACTCCTCGCTGAGCAGCGAGCCCAGGGTGGGTCTCGATCCCAGCACCCTGGCATCATGACCTGAGCCAAAGCCAGATGTTTAACCAACTGAACCACCCAGGTGCCCCACTGTAGGTTTTGTTGTTGTTTTTTTTTTTTTTTTTCAATCAGGCTGAAGAAGTGTCCCTCTGTTCTTAGCTGGCCAAGAGTTTTAGTGTTTGAATTTGTCTAATGTTTTTTTTCTGCAACTATTGGTATAATCATATGATTTTTCTTCTTTATTCTGTTGATGTGATAGATTGCACTAATTGATTTTCGATTGTTGAATCAGCCTTGCAACCTGGGATAAATGCCACTTGGTCATGGCATGTAATTCTTTTTATTCACTGTTGGATTTTATTTGCTAATGTTTTTTAATTTTTATTTATTTATGATAGTCACACACACAGAGAGAGAGAGAAGCAGAGACACAGGCAGAGGGAGAAGCAGGCTCCATGCACCCGGAGCCCGACGTGGGATTCGATCTGGGGTCTCTAGGATCGCGCCCTGGGCCAAAGGCAGGCGCCAAACCGCTGCGCCACCCAGGGATCCCTATTTGCTAATATTTTGTTGAAGATTTTTGCATCTATGTTCATGAGAGATATTGCTGTAGGGTTTTCTTATGGGTTTTTTTTTTCTTTCTGGTTTTGGTATAGGGTAACGCTGGCCTCATAGACTGAGTTAGGAGGTATTCCCTCTGCTTCAATCTTCTGAAAGAGATTATAGAGAACTGAAAGAGTCTCTTCCTGCAGTGTTTGGTAGAACTCACAAGTGAATCCATTTGGGCTATGTACTTAATTGTTGATAAATGAATGCTAGTATTAAATAAATGTGTGCATGTGTATTTTAAGTAGGCCCCACCCCCAACATGGGGCTTGAACTCATGACCCCAAGATCAAGAGTTTCATGCTCTGCTGACTGAGCCAGCCAGATGCCCTAAATAAATGTGGTTTTATATGGAGGCTTGATTACACTTTGGGGTGTTTGAGGGTAAAGTCACAACGTTGCATGTATGGGAGGGGCTTTACCTACTGCTAAGAAAAGCATAGTTTAGGGTCTGCTTAGGTCAGAGAGCACATTTCTCCTGAACTTCCTCTAGCACCACTTCCTCACCCACAAGAGTGAGCCTGAGCAACAGGATCATGTCATGTGACCTCCTTTCCTACCCTATGGCCACACTTGTTTGGACCAGTGATAGACAACTGACATAAGCTGGACTAATCATATTCTCCCCTCAGGGAGTTGGGATTTAGGACCAAGAGGCAGTTCTCTAGTTTCTCCATAGAGGTGGAATTGAGGTATTCTAGACCTAGGAGCTGTGGACCAGTTTTTGTTGGACTTGTTACACCAGATAGGTGTGAAGTTCTTTCTGCTAGGAGAGAAGATGAGGTGGAAACCGATCATGTGGCTGGGAATGGGCAGAGAGGGGCCAAGGGATCATGGGGTGAAGAGACTCAGAAGGCTCCAGTGGGGCTCAGGAAAGGACAGAGAGAGTATATTAGGATTGGGTGCTCCAGGTCTAAGGAGGGGGTGGGTGGCACGCTTCTCAAATGGGTTCTTGGAAAGGGAGGTGCAAGCCCTCCTCCAGGGAAGACAGTGGGAGCAAGAGCAGATAGGTAAAGGCATTGTGTATTTACCCTCTCGGAACTTAGAGGGTGCCTGGGTGAGTCTGGACTAATCCATATGGGGGTGTCTCTATCGTCCTCCTCAGAAGGCCAGGCTTTGGCTTGTGTTTCTTCCCCCTGGGAAGGGGAAGAAGGTGACGTGGAGGCTGAAGCAAGGACCCGGGTGGGCTGGAGCAACAAGCTTCCCAACAGACAGTGCCTGGTTCCAACCCACCTCTCCCCTCCGCTCCCTGTACCTAGCCTGTCAGCCACACGAGGGAAATCACCAGTGGAATTCACAGCTTTGGAAACACAAAAAGTCAGAAGGATTTTACTTAAATAGACTTCAACTAGAAGGAAACTGGAGGGTTTTTCTTATACAGATGAATTTTGGCTTTTAACTTGGAGCCATCAGCCCATTAGTAACTCTGATGTGTGTGTTTGTGGATCGGTATCCTTGTGGGTACATCTGTGAGAGAATTCATCCGGGTCTTTATGGCTCCTTCCTGTCTGTCTCTGTATCAACTGAGAAGGTGTGGTCTTGTCTTTATTATTATGTATTCCCTTGAAGAATCCTGAGTCACTTTTAACAACCTTTTTCTGAGTCTCCTCAAAGGATCAGCGCCACCTGCAAGTGTGTGGGTGAGGCTGGGGTGGGTCCTGAGGTATCCTAGGCCACAGCCGCCCCTTTGGGGCCAGGCCTCAGCTTTCTGAGTCCAGGCGGTGGGAGTAGTGGTTCCCGGGGGAGTAGCGCCAGAAGCGCCAGAAGTACAGGACTGCGAACCCCACAGCCCCCAGCAGCAGGAGGGTGAACAGGGCTCCAAAGAGGATTCCGAAGAAGGCACTGAGCTTCATGCCCAGGTGCTCACAGCGCTCGCCCCAGGGCGTGTAGATGGAGAAAGGCACACAGCTGTGGACAGAGGGAAGGGACGAGGTCAGCAGTGGGGAGGCCCCAGGAGGTTTCCCTCCACAGGCTGAGACTCTCCTCTGGGGAAGGAGGCAGAACCTAAGAGAGTCTACTGGGTAGGGGAGGCTGGCAGGGGTGACTTCACCTGGACTAAGCACCCCCTGGCTAGCGGGGTGGGGCTGGCTGCAGGTAAGGGGGTACAAGCTGAGGCCCTGGCTCCTCCCAGCCCTCCTGGGACCCTGGAGGGGAGACAGCTGGGTGGATCTGGGGCTGCAGGGGGCACGAGGATGGACATAGGGCACTGATGGGGTGGCCCTGCCCTTCTCCTCCTTGGCAAGCCTGTAGACTGAGTGCACCCCCCTCACGGGAGCTCCTCAGACTGCTGATGAACCAAGAGGACAGAAGATGCCAGCTTGAGAGGGCCTCCCCCGGCCGGTACTCCTAAGGAGGGGCAGGGCTGGGCCTAGACCCAAGGCGGTGGGTGCCTTCCCGCAGAGACAGCAGAATGCCTGCCCCAGAAGCAACACTGGGTACAAGACTTTGCCTTTGAAACCCACGTCCCATTATTTAACCTCCTGGCTACCTGGGCAGATTCATTACCTACCTCTTCTTTAAAAGGGTCATACTACCTACCCAGAAGCTAAGTGTCAGTGTTAGAAGTCATGCAGCATCTTTATTCACACAGAGTAAGTGCTCACACATCTTTTCCATGGTCCCTTTTTCTCTGATCCCTGCTCTCTGAGTCATCAAAGAACCATCCTAACTTTCAGACACCACCAGGTACCGTGGCATTTCTAGGCCCCTTGCGGTATCTGTGCCCAGCCTGGAGTCCCCGGCTCTGCTCGTCCTGCCCTCTCCCCGAACTCACCTGCAGCGGGGCCCTTGGGGCAGGTGCTGACACTGGCCTCCGTGCTTACAATAGCCCTCACTGCACGGGGACACGCAGGTGAAGCCGCTCTGGGGGCTGTAGACCAGGCGGTAGTCCTTGTAGCTGTTGCATTTGAAGTAAGCCTTCAGCGTGCTCACGTTCACTGTCAGGACACAGATGAACATGGAAAGCAATCAATAGCACTGGATCTATACCTCTTCAATCGGGAATTCTGTTTTCAGGCATTTATCCTGAGAAATCCTTGGAAAAGCATGCAAATCCGTATGTTCATTGACATCCAGAGCAGCGTGGTTTATAATAGCAACAGTGTTTAATAGGTGAGGTTTTGTTAAACAAGGATACTGTGCAACCAGTAAGCACATGGTGTGGAAAATGCATTGGTTAAGAGCATACGCTTTTTTTTTTTTTTTAAGAGCATACGCTTTGAAGTAAACCAGACCTACGTTGAAATTCAAACTCTACTACTAACTAGTTGTGTGCTTTGGGGAAATTTCTTAACTCCTTCAGCCTCAGTTTCCTTATCTTTATTGATTTTATTTTTTATATTTTATTTATTTATTCATGAAAGACACAGAGAGAGAGAGAGAGAGAGGCAGAGACACAGGCAGAGGGAGAAGCAGGCTCCCTGTGGGGAACCTGATGGGGGACTCGATCCCAGGACCCCAGGGTCACAACCTAAGCCAAAGGCAGACATTTAATCACTGCCCAGTTTCCTGGGCAGCCTGGGTGGCTCAGTGGTTTAGCACCACCTTCAGCCCAGGGTGTGATCCTGGGGTCCCTAGATGGAGTCCCACGTCGGGCTCCCTGCATGGAGCCTGCTTCTCCCTCTGCCTGTGTCTCTGTCTCTCTCTCTCGCTGTCTCTCTCTCTCTTTCTCTGTCTCTAATAAATAAATAAAAATAAAAATAAATAAATAAATAAAATAAAATACAGCACACTGGGGGCACCTGAGTGGTGCCGTTGGTTAAGCATCTCTTGATTTTGACTCAAGTCATGATCTCAGGGTCTTGAGATCGAGCCCGTCATCAGGCTCCATGCTCAGTGCACAGTCTGCTTGAGATTCTCTCCCTCTCCCTCCACCCCTCCCTCCTCTTACTCTCTCGAAAACAAATAAATCTTTAAATAAAATATAGCACACCACATTAAAATGTATGATAAAATAATAATCAAATGGGAACACATATACAATATACAAGGTAATATGTTCACAATTGCGTAAGTAATAAGGTCATCAAACATTAGGTACTACTTGATCCCCTTATTATAAAAAATATTGCTATGTGTGAAGACTCCTATGCATGAAAGAAAATTCAGAAGGATAGATGCAAAATGGACTTGTCTTTGGGGCTTGGAATTACACGTGATTTTTTCTCTCTTCCTTTTGTTAATCTGTGTCTCCTCAAGTTTCTACAATAAACATATTGTACTTGTATAATAAAAACTCTGGAGTTTCTTGGTTGGCTTTCTTTAACAAAAGGCACAGTCAGGTCTAGGGGAGCTGTGCCTGTATGCCACCCCTAACGCCCTACCACACATACACAAAGTAGTTTGGAGGATTTCACATTGTTGCCCCCAGGAGGGAGGAGGCACTGCCTGGATTCAATCCCACCCTCAGTGACACGGCAGCTTCCGCAGGGTTTGGTGTGGTCACTGCCTCACTCCTAGGATAGGGTGGTCTATTCCTTTCCTCCCCTGACAAGCTTACCAACTGATCCCATTCTTGTTTCGGGGTAATCAGGGATCACCACAGCTGACGGGGACCTCAGAAATCCCATCTCTTTTCCCACATGGGGGTGTCAAGGCTTGGATTGGGGATGGCTTCTGCACAGGGTCACCCTTCAAGGAGGGGAAACCTCTGGCCCTAGGTCAGGTCTCCAGCCTTCAACTGAATTTCCTCCAGCTGGAGGGCAAAGGCAAAAGGGATGTCCCTGTTTATGTTTATAAAGCGTAATGGTTTTTTAACAAAATCATTACCGATTTCATCAAAAGAAAAAATCGTCAGCAGTGATGGTCAGGAAGGTGGCAGTTAGAGTAATTGTTCTGTGAAACCGTATCCCTGGGGACTCACCAAGTAGTGTTTGGTGCTCTGCTCGTGAGTCTAGAAAGCTGGTGGGTGAAATGTTTAACGACTTCTCTCAAAAATGATAAAAAAAATCTAGTCCCCCTGTTCACCTGCCCCCTCGGCTGTCTCTGTGACTACAGCCAGGATAGTGACTCACGAGCCAGCACACTGTGCACGTCTTCCCTGGAGATGGAGTGGAAGTTCACGTCGGTCCTGGGTCTCCCACTTCTGTTCTTCCTCCACCACGAGGCCTGGGGTAAGAACGCTTCCACCACTGCATCCAGCAGCTTGGTGTTCAGGAAGTCGATGACGGGACCCTGAGGAAGGTACTGGAACTTCGAGAAGACTCTCCAGTGTCTACGTAAACTTCCCGAGGCCAGCCCTGCACTGGAATTGCTGCGTGGGAGGGGCACCGTGAGGTGGTAAGGGTGCAGGTGGAGGGGGGAGACGCGGGGGCCGAGGGGGACAGTCCCACTTACATCTGTAGCACTTGGGAGTTCTGGAGAAAGGCCCGCACATTCAGGTTCCCCAGTCTGTAGGCCACCTAGGGCAAGGACGGGGGTGGGGGCATGGGAGTGAGGCCCCACCCGAAGAGGACACCTCTCCCACTTGCATGTACTTATTTGTCCACATCTGGCTCCGTTTTGCACACGAGCACCAGGACCGCAGACTGCTTCTCACCATGTCTGCATCCCCACGCCCCAGCCTAGCCTGGTGGCCCTTGTGGGTCCCTGCTTACCGAACGTTTGCTGGGAAGTCAAGGACTCTGCACACCTCCCTGCCTCCCGTGACAAGGGGGGAATCTGAAATGAGTGGCCCCTACCTTTGCCTCCACCCCCTGATTCACGCACTCGTTCTAGCCCCACATGGATTTTGAATATTGATTATGTCCGGCTAGACCTAGGGGATGGTCGGGTGCTGGGGGGTCAAGCTGACTCAGGAAAAACCCCTAGTTAGTGAAGTAGACAGGCGTTAACGGACTTCCCCTTACAGGGTCTAGATGCTGTTGTACCAGCAGTAGGAATAATTATTATCATTATAATTTTTGAACACTTGTATTTTAGGCACCATGGTAAGTGCTTTACATACATTATCATTTAAACCTTGACACAACCCGTTGACAGAGGTATTATGGGTATTTCTACTTTACAGATGAGACATCAAATAGTTTGTCTAATTATTGCACCTGTTCCAGGGAATGATTATTGCACCTGTTCTAGGGAATGTTCTAGAGGATTTGAACCCGGGTATGTATGACTCTGGAGCCTCAGCGCTTCAGCTACTGTGCTACTCGGCGTGTGGTTGAGGGATGGACAGGGGCCTACGGGGCCAAGACGAGGGAGCTGCTGGTTCCCTCTGGGAAATCAAGGAGGGCTTCCTGGAGGTGAAATACCTTCCTGGTGTTGAAATACCATACGACACCCAAGTGCAAGTCTCTAGGGACACTCAGGAGGGAGGCTGGGGTGACTCAGCCTCCCTACACCCGAGTTATTCCAGTCCCCTGGGAGGTCACTGTCCTGGGCTTCCTGCCTTCCCCATCCTTCCGCCCGCCTTCCCAGGGGCAGGAGGCTCTGGGCCTCCTCTGGCAGTCGAGTCTCGATGGGTGGCAGATGCGGAGCCCGGGAGCAGGGCTGGGCCCCTGCTTGCCCCCGCCAGGCCGCCTCCCCACCCCGCTGGCCTGCAGCACCAACCGAGGCGTTGACATCAGCCATGGAGGCATTTTCTTCTTCACTGAGCCAGAGCTGGATGAGCCTCACGGGAAGCCCTGGAAATGGGAGACGCAGGCCACGGTCACCCTGGCCCCGGGGAGGTGGCTGGGCCTGTCGGGGCGCCTTCCTCTGGCGACCCTGCGGCCGCAGCCCAGTGCCCGTGGCCCGGCGACCCGCCTCCCGCCTGTGGCCCACGGGGTCACCCTGGAGCCCCTCCCTCCGGGGTGCAGGCCAGGCGGCCAGTGGTACCTGCAGGGGCAGCCGGAGTGAAGGGGTTCCCCGCCACCAGGCAGCGGCTGTCTGAGAAGGCGGGGTGGCAGGTGCAGGCCGGCTGGCAGTCCCTCTCAGGGGACATGTGGCAGTGGCCCTGGTTGTAGCAGTAACTGGCAGGGCAGGACCGGTTCCCACAGTGCAGCCCGGGGGCCAGAGCTGTGGAAAGAGGAGGTGGGGAGGCAGGGAGGCCCAGGATCCCCAGCCCAGGGTCCCCCCCAGGACGCTCAGGGCCCCAAGCCCTCTCGGCCTGCCTAGCAGTCCCCGAACCCTGAACTCTCCCCCTCCCTTCTCCTGGTCCCCTGCCCGAAGCCCTTCCTCTGCATTTAGCAGACCTGCTGCAGCGAGAAGGGACCCCAAGGCCGCAGGGTGGGGGGAGCCCCAGCGTGCTTGTCTCGCCCCCTCCCTCTTCCCGCCCCGTCCCCTCGGCCTCTGCTCAGTAGGGCCCATAAGGCCTCAGGTGGTCACCCTCTGCCCACCCAGTCTCTCAGCCTTCAGCCTCCCAGCTCACCTGGCATCCTCACCTCCATCCTTCCCCACCATGGAGAAGGGAGACAAAGGTTGGTCCCAGGCCCCAGGCCCTCCCAGTGTCAACTGTCCCCATGCCATGCTCCTGCCAGGGCAGATCCCCGCTCACCTGCACAGTGACGCCCGTCGCCCGTCAGGTTCGGGGGGCAGGCCTCGCAGCCCCTCCCGGGGACGCAGGCCACACCCGCGAAGCACGGCGCCTCGCACTGGTCCCTGGAGCGCTCGCAGTAGTGGCCAAAGGTGCTGGAGCCACACCTGCAGTGGGCCACCTGGAATGGGTGGCTGGTTACTGCGCAGCCGGGAGACCGACCGTGTTTCTGCGCACCCCCACCCCCCGGCCTGGGAACCCACAGACCCCGAGTCCCCGTCCCAATCCTGCCAGCACGTGCCGAGCGCTGGAGCTCGCTGTGGTCCTGCTCTGAGCGCCCTGGGCCTCGCCAGACGGTTCTCTCCCCGACCCCTCGCCCGGTGCCAGCCCTGGGACCCCAGCCGCACCACATCTCCTTGCCCGAAACCCTTCTTAGAGTCTACCTACTTCCAGGACTGGACATCTGGGGACACCTAAACTAATACATTGATGCCAATCTCTGTTTTTCCTCGTCTGTGTCTTGTCCCCTCTCTGCCCCCGGGCTCCTCCACCTCTACCCCTTCCCGGCGGGAAGCCTCGTTCGTGCTTCCGGAGAAGGGCGCCTGTAGGTATAAGGAGCGAACGGGCTGGTGGGGTATTACCAGCCAAACACTCCCCTTCATGGCTCCTGCTTTACAACCCAAACAAAACAAAATGAAGTTTTTAAAAAAGCAAATGGGGCAGGATGGATAGACTAAGTCCAAACTATCGTGGTTAGAACCGGCACGCACAAAGGTAGTCTCTAAAATGAAAAGATCCTTCTTTTTGCTGGAAGGAGACAGTAGAAGAGGAATATGAAGGGGTGTAGGGGCGTCAACATCATAGGGGACCTACACCCCTCTTCCCAATGCCACAATGAGGAGAGCCCAGAGAGAAATAGGCGTGTGGTGCTTGTAGGCAGACGCAGCCTAGGGCGCCTTATAAAAGGTGTCCCGTGTCTGAGCAAAGCACAGAAGCCATGGAGCACCTCCCTGGGCCTGAAGAGGAGGGAGCACGGCGCCTGTGAGCTGTGTAGGCACGTGCCCAGGGACAGGAGGCCTCCCTCCCCCACCTCTCCATGGTCTGGAACCGTAGGGCTGGGGAGCTGCCCGGGTGGCTCAGTCGGTTAAGCACCAGACTCTTGATTTCAGCTCAGGCCATGATCCCAGGGTCGTGAGCTGGAGCCCCCATTAGGCTTGCTGCTCAGTGAGGAGTCTGTTGAGATTCTTTCCCCCTCCTCTGTGCCTCCCCCTGTTTGTGCGCCCACCCCCTCAACACACGTGCACCCTCTCTCCCTCTCTCTCTGTGTCTCAAATAAATAAATAAATAAATCCTCAGAACTGTGGAGCTGGGGCCCTCTGGGGAGCCTTAAAGGAGGCTGAGGTGGATGTTTCCCGTCAGCCTGGCAGAGTGGGAGCTAGGGGATTAAAATTCGGTTGAGCGATAAGCCGTGAAGACAGTTCTGTTTCTTACACACGTAAGTTCATGGCCTGAGATTGAGGTTGACTGTCCTCCCCTGCCTCGGTTCCCAACACACACAATTCCCACTGAGACATCGCTTCCATTCCCACTGCCTTTCCCTCCCACCCTCCTCCTGACACTCACCTCCAGGGAGGAATTGCCCACCCAGCCCGTCTGATTGTATAGACACTGGCTCCTGTCCCTGCAAGCGCAGACCACTGTCCTTGGCTGGAGCACAGATGACAAGTTGACTTCAACGTTTCTTGCTAGAATCTCCAGGGTGAATGGTTCCAAGGACTTTGGTGTCCACAGCAGTGTCCCGTTCTCTGCCCCAGGGAAGATAAGACCATTAGGGCTGGGGGCCTCGGCTGCTTGCTGTCTGACGTGTCCTGAGAGCTGATGTGGGCCTTTCTCCGCCTCTCTCAGGCCACACTTCAGTCATCAGGCATTTCCTTGAGCTCGGCTGGCTTCCTGGAGTGATCTTGGTCGCACCCCACGCTGGAGGTAGCATGAGCCCCACTGAGTGATTGCAGGTGGAACTCCAGAGAGGGGAAGGCAGTTGCCCCCTGAAGAGGTGCAACCCTGCTCAGGCCTGCACTGGGATGGGACATCCAGGAGGGACAGAGAATAAGGCCCCAAGGCTAGGATCCCCCTGATGGTTCCCCAGGCTACCCTGTAGGCAAAACTGGCTTCCCCTTCACAGCAGCCCCATCCCTGGCCCTGATTTCTTGCCCACCCTCCTCCCGCTTCTTGCACCTTTGACCTTCAGACACCAGACTACAGTGAAACGCTGCTACGTATCAGCAAGGACTCTTCTGATCCAAAGGTGTCTTATGGTTTGTCTCTTACGGAAAGTCTCCTTAAAACAGCAGGTTGAGAGTTGTTGATAGTAGGGGACAGACAAGAGCAGCTCCCAGACTATCACTCTTCAGGAGAGGAGCCCAGGAGGGGAGAAAATCTCCTGATTGGCTGGCACCTGGGAGGCTGCCACCTGGCGCCAAAGGGCGCAAAGAGAAAGAAAGAAAATAGGCCAGAGAGAGGTGCTCTGAGCTCAAAATAAGGTCCCTAATGGCTTTAGTTTAGCAAAGAATAGTCTTTAGCATAAGTGGTGCCGGCAACTGAAGGGAAGTTGGGGACGCCCGGGGGCTCAGCGGTTGAGCATCTGCCTTCCGCTCAGGGCGTGACCCCGGGGTTCTGGGATGAGTCCCACGGTCGGGCTCCCTGCATGGAGCCTGCTTCTCCCTCTGCCTGGGTCTCTGCCTCTCTTTCTCTCTCTCTGTCTCTCATGAATAAGTAAATAAAATAAAATTTAAGAAGAAAAAAAAAAAGAAGGGAAGTTGCATCCTGTGGGCTTTGACTTTTCCACCCAGGTCACGGTTTTAGGCCGAGGGGTCTCCACACCAGTACTGACAGGTAGAGATGAGGCTTTGCTTGGTCCCAGCACAGAAGAGCAACAGGGAGAGACAGAGTTAGGCAATCGTGGTTGACCGACATAAAAATAATGAGAACCACGCCGAATGAAGCTATTTATACCTTTAAATCCTGTTCCATGTGATAGCCTTCTTTTAATAGATTTGAAAATGCTTTAGATCAGTATTTGTTAAATTGTTATACTCTATTCTAGTAATTTGGTGACCGCATCAAGCTGGTTAAAGATGATCGTATGTTACTGGGTTTGGTGGAATGACCTTTGGATCACTTGCGTGGGCCCGAGACAGTTTTGCTCGCTGGCCAGACTTCCAGAAGGCCATCGCTGCTGTTCACTGGGGGCACCTATCTGAATCACAGGGATCATTCTTGGAAATGCTGGTCCTAGATATTCTGGTGGAAAAGTGACATGAAATTGCCCAGGGCGTGATAATGCAAAATTACCTTAAAAAGCTTGACTCTGAGCTCATCCCTTCCACCTGCACCCAAGGGCTCTTACCGAAGAGCTTGAAGTCACTATTGCTGTTCCTCAGAGTGAATGTGACGTGCTCAGGGTGGCTGGTGTACTGAACCAGCGTGGTCTGCCCCAGGTAGGCTTGCACCACGTGCGGACCCTCGATCGATGGGGGGTACTCATCTGAAACACAAACAGGAGATTCGGGTTTGGGGGCAGGACACTTTCTTGCCTCATGGGCCTCGTCTCTCTCCGTCTAGTCCTCTGGTTTGTGGGAGGTGTTCTCAGGACTAGGACCCACCTCTGGAGGCAGGAATTACACCATGTACCTGCTTTCAGATCTCTGTAGAGCAGGTGGGGGTTGAATTGCCCACCTGGCCAAATCCTTATCTTCGCTTTATCTTCCCTCCCCAGACAGGGTTCAGGTCAGGCTCTCTCCTGATCAGAGCGCTCTGCTGGGCGTGGTACAAAGTGAATCAGAAACCAGGGTTATTCAGACCATCACAGAGTTTTGCCCTTGGAAGAGGGCTAGGAGCCACGAGGGTGATCTCCAGATGGGCATTGCATTTGCCAGGAAATAGAGGAACACGGTGGACATGCAATTTCCAGTTCACTGTTCAGTCATTCGGTCAGTCGCTGAACACATGCACTGAGCACCTACCATACAGCTGGTAGGGCTCTAGGTAGTGAGGACACAGCAGTAAACAAATACTGAGAAGGATACCTATGGAACTAGGAAATATGCTAGATAGTTATAAAGGCTGAGGAACAAAAAACAAAGCAGGGACAGCAAATAGGAAGTATGGGTAAATGTGAAATTTGGGCAGGCTAGCCAAGAAGGGCATTGCGGAGGAGGCGACTCTGCTTGCACGCAGCGTTGGAGGAGGTGAGGGTGAGCCTGGGGCTGCCTGGAGGAAGGGTGTCGGGCAGAGAAGGCCATGGATGGAGCCTGGAGTGAGGAGCGAGCCCGCTGTGGTTGATGAACACAGAGAAGCCAGGAGGGCTGGAGTGGACGGAGCAGGGCAGGGAGAAGGAGAGGGAGAGTTGGAGAGGTTCTAGGGTCAGGTTGGAAAGGGCTTTGCATGTCATCACAAAGTGAGCCTGGGAGTCATGGGAGGAACAACCTGAGCAAAAAAAATCTGTTAAATTTTTAAAGGAATATCGTGAAAAGGGTGGGGCGGGGAGGGGGGCTCCTAATCTGCCACCTAACTCTGCAAAGGTCTCCCTGCGCCTCCCGCCACTTACTGAGGGTGGCGTTCATCCGCTGCTGACTTTCGAAGAGCATCCTGGTGTTCAGGCCCGTGTCTGTGTTTCCTGTGGCCAGGCTGTCATAGATGCACCGCTCATCTTCATGACACTTGGAGAGCAGCGTTGCATTTAAGGTTTGATTTTTCTGCAGGCTGGTAAGGAAATCGGGGGTGAAGTTGGAAGGCGGATGGTCACCTCTCTCGCCAAGGAGTCCTGTATCATTGGTTTTCCCTGTAAGACACAGGATGCAATGGCGGTGGCACCAGGGATGGTCTCCAGCTCTATCTCCTCTGTGTCTACCCCTTCGCCTCACTTTATGTGCCTGGGGGTGCGAGGGAGATGCGGAGGGGTGGAGTGACTTCTGGCTTCTGAGGCCGGAAATGCCTGCTCTGGTCAGTGGAGCCACCCCTGCCCTTGTCTTCTCTTCCAGGTAGAGAAGTGCAGATGGGATGGGAGTGGGGGGGACAGATCTAGGACCGCACCAGAATCCTGAGCACTTCCTCCTGGCCTTTCCACTCCTCCCTCACAAAGGATGGAGGTCTGGTCCCACAGGCCTGAGGACACGATGCTTTCCATCCCGCCCAGCCGCACCTGCCCCGCGGACCCTAAAGCCCTCACTCACAGGTCATTCCGTAGTGAAAAAGTGAGTCCTCGCTGCTATTGCCGGGAATGGTGGAGCCATTGGGCATCCTGAAGTCATCACCTGGATTGCCATTCCAAACTCCTGAGGGACAGAACAGGAGGTTGGCCATCCTGGGACTGTGGCTCCCCCCCCCCCCCGAGGGAAACCCCTTCCAGTTGCATCTGTCCTTGGCCCAGTCCTTCTGGGGGAGGAGAGGGGACCACACCTCATAGCCCACCCTCTGTCCCAGGGATGAAGAGGGGGAAATGAAGGCGGGGGTGGAGGAAGAAGGGGCGTGGGAGAGGGAGGGCTTCCCAGAGCCCATCCTCCAAGCCCCCCTGGCTGCCCTGAACCGGAGCTTTAGGAAGCCAAAGGCTCACAGGGAAGCTGAGAGGTCTCGGTCCCGCCGCCGCCCAGGCAGGGTCGTCCCTGCTTCTCACCCAGGAGGCCCTCGGTGCGCTGCCGATACTCCGCGGGGAGGCCACACGAGGCGTGGAGGATGTTGGACAGGGCCCTCACCGAGACGGCCACCGCCCCATCGAAGGCGGCCGACACCTCGGAGCCGGCGCGGGTCACCGTGACGCCGGTGGTGTTGAATGTCTCCTGGCCTGGACGTGGGGAGACAGATGGGGAGCCCGGGGCCGGGACCCTGCGGCCCAAGACTTGGGGGGGACGGGGCAGGGGTGGGGTGAGGCTCCGAGGGCCGCTTGGGGGCCTGGAGCCTGGGGATGCCTTTCCCAGGGGCCCCGAGCCAAGCCCACAGGACACCCCTTCTTCCGGGGGACTGGGGAGGGGGGAGGGAGGCCCGAAGCCTGGGCCCGGGTGAAGAAGCTGCGGTTCGGCCAGAGGAGGGGGCGTGAGGCGAGGCTGCCCACTGGCTCCGCTCCGCTCCCGAGTGGGTGCCCCCAGCCCGACCCGAGGAGGCAGGGAAGCTGACCCCTGTCCCCAGCCTACCTTCGTGCTGAGTCCCAAACGGCACAGTCTGGTTGTTGACCTGCACGCGGATTGTGTCATTGGGCTCGAGGAGCCATCGGACCTGGGAGGGAATTGGAGGAGGCCTAAGCCTGACCCTTGGGCGGGCCCAGGGCCTGAGCAAGGAGGCCGCGGGGGGCTCGGACCCGAGCCCCAGGACGAGGTGGGTGGGCCTGACGGTGAGGTTGCGCCGCCAACAGCGCTAGGGCACGGCATGGGCCGGGCTGAGAGCGCACGTTTCTCAGATGATCTCATTTAAAGCTCACAACAGCCCCGTGAGGGAATATTGTCATCCTCAGTTTACTCCAAGAAAAGGGAGGCAGAGGCGCCCGGGTGGCTCAGTGGGTGAGCCTCTGCCTCGGGCCCAGGATGTGATCCCCGGGTCGTGGGATCGAGTCCTGCATCGGGCTCCTGCAGGGAGCCCACGTCTCCCTCTGCCTCTGTCTCTGCCTGTCTCTGTGTCTCGTGAATAAATAAAATCTTAAGAAAAGAAAAGTGAGGCACTGGAAGGTCAGTAGTTCCTTCAGGATCACACGGCTGATGGAACCATGACCCAAATGGCACCGTTCATAGGGTCGACTCTCGACGTGTCCCACCCACCCCGGCGCCCCCTCCCTCTGCTCCCCCTGCCTCCTCCCCTCCTTGGAGCCCCCCCCTCGCACACCGTGATGGGGCTCAGGCTGCGGGCCTCATAGCTCGCTGCAAAGGCAATGAAGTTGGTGGCCCTGGCAGAGCCGGTCTGGGCGGTGCGACCCAGCAGCAGGAAGGAGGAGTTTCCGTCCCAGGCCCGGACCAGCTGGAAGTCGCCCAGCCCATTGAATGTGTAATTGGCACCGTCCAAGGTGGTGATGTGGGGGTCCCCAAACATCCAGGCTGGAAGAAAGGAGAGGCCACGCTGGCGCGGCTGGCGGGGTGCAGATCTGAGCCCCCCACAGCCTCCAGGCCGACTCAGGCCTGTGAGATGCTCACAGAGTAGAGAACATCCCCGAAGGCCCCCCCCCCCGCCCCCGCGCCCAAGTCACATCTACGGTTGCCTCGCCTCCCCCCTCCCGTGCCACCCACAAGGCCCCTCGGTTGGGCCCTGCCGCCGCCGCCCGCCGCAGGAGGCAGGCCCTGCCCAGCCCCTCGTGCCCAGGCTCACCGGGCCTCGGGGGCCGGTACCCAGCGCAGCCCACACGGGGCCGCCTCTGCCGGTACAGGGCGCAGAGCACGGGCCGGTCGCTCCAGCGGCAGCACCAGTTCTGGGGCTCCAGTTCTCGTCCTGTGGGGGAGAGTGCACGTTGCGGGGAGATGCAGGACCTGCAGCACCCAGCTGGGGGGTTTGGGCAACGGCGCGGGACTCGGGTCCTGCCCTGCTCGGCGACCTCGGGCCGTGGACCGGTCAGGCTTGTCAGGGCAGCAAAGCCCCAGGCGCCTGAGCTCGTGGCTGTGGCTAAGGGGCTTGCTTTCTTGAAGGGTGGCACTGGGTCCCCCTGCCGCCAAAGTGCAGGAGTGGGAGGGCGTGACCGCCGGTCTGGGGACCCTGGAGGCTGCTGTGATGGCCGGGGGCAGAGCGGTGGCAGGGGGTGGAAGGAGGACCCACACTCTCCTAATTTAAGACAACTGTATAGGGGTCTCATATTTAAGCTGCTGCTGCTATTGATTAAGGACATTCGGGGCACCTGATAGATCAATCAGTTAAGCATCTGACTCTGGATATCAGCTGAGATCATGATCTCAGTGTTGTGAGATTGAGCCCTGGCCCCCAGCCCCGTGCTCTCTGGCTCTTCTGGAGGGTCTCTGCGGGAGATGACTCCATGTCTCTCCGGAGACAGCCAGCTAATCTGGGTCCTGAGGCACAGGGTCAGACTGGGGCCCTCTCCTTCCCCAGAACATGGCCCCATTCTTGTCTGGGGCCCTGAGGCCAAGTGAAGATGGGGCAAGAGGCACTCAATCGTAAGTCCCTAGGATGGCAGCTGGAAGGGCTGCTGGAAGCTTCCCAGTGTTACAACACGAGGAAATCAGTGGCCAGAGAGAGTAAGGGGCTGGGAGGGAAGGGGGGCGAAAGGCTTCTTTCTTCAGATCCCACTGCTTGGCTCTGAGGCCAAGCATGGTCTCTGACAGAGAATGGTAGAGACTCCAGAGAAGGTGGGGGGTGAGATGTCCGTGGACACGTACCAAACTGCCAAGGATCGTGCACTCTCCAGCCTTGGAGAAGCTCGCCCCAGGGCCCGTAGCTGCAGCACACGCCCCCGCGCCAGGAGGAGAAGCTGCACAGCTGCCTGCTGCCGAGGCCCCACCAGCCTGCAATGGGTACAGACACGCTCAGGCCCAGAGGCCTGGGAGCGGTGGAGGGATGGGAGGCTGGGGGGGACCCTGGGGGAGGGGCCGAGGGTGCCCTGGAAGGGACATGTCAGGCGTGACCGGAGGGTTGGTGGGTGGGTTTACGGGGGCGGTGGGCATGCCCCAAGAGGCAGAGAGGAGCTCTCACCTATGCTGCTAGGCTGGAACCGCAAGTCCCACAGTCCCTGCTGCCAGGAGCAAGGGCAGGAGACCTGGTTCCAACCCCACATGGGCCACTGAGGCTGTGTCTTCAGCCACTGCAGGCACTTGAGACGGTAGTTGGGCCTTTCTTCCTGGTGCAGGCTGTAGAGCTGCAGGCCCCGGAGGCCTAGCGGAACAGAGGAGGGAGAGATGCTGCTCCAGGGCCACAGGGCCGCACGCTCAGCATTAGCGACCGAGACCGGCTCACAAATGCACCTTCTGCTACCGCCTCTGCCTCTCGGGACAGCCAGTCCAGGGATGGGACCCGTTTCAGTCTGGCCCCTTTATGTAACTTCCAGAAGCCCCTGAAGGTTGGATTTTAGGGGGAAACTCTGGGACAGTTGCCGAGCAGGGAGGCCTCACCCCCGCGGAGCCAGCCCCCAGCCCCCGTCTTCAGTGCACCAGTCCTCCACCCTCCCATATGCCAGTCTGAGTTCCAGTACCTTCCAGTCTCCCCGAACCAATTCTTCCTCATGCATCCTCTACCTCACTAAGTGGCAGCCACCAGCTCAGACACTTGGCTTCCATACCTGACCCCCACCCCTCCCCCAACACAGACGTATCAGTGGCCAAAGTAGCCAGGACAGAGGCCGATGCCTGGAAGCCAGCTGGGGAGCCACAGAGAAGCTGACATGTGAAGCAGGGCCTTGCTCCAGTACCGTGAGGCCGAGGAAGCTTCCTCTGAGCCCGGATGCCATCCTCGGAAGGGAGAAGTAGTTGGGGGGCGAAAACCCTGGCGGGGGTCGAATTTAAATTGACCTTTAACTGTAAGTTGCATAGTGGGCACCCCAACCGCCAGGAGCAAGTAGGGGGCTCTCGGGTCCAGTAAGACACAACGGGACATAATGTGTTGGGGTTTGACCCTGTTCCCGCACTAAAGAAGAAATTATCCAGATAACTACAATTTGTTAAGGTTTTGAAAAGAATAATTATTGTTTACGGGCTATCTGTTCACGTGTCTTCTCCACAATGGCCTGATATCCTGGGCAACGAATCAGATATTCTCTCCCAACACACACGCACACACACTGTCATATTGTGCCCCCGAGGCCGCAAGCAGCTGCATCTTGATGGAAGGGCCCGAATCTGACCGGGCAGCTGTCTCCACGAGATGGCACCCATGATTTGACTTAGCTGCTGTTTCCCAGAAGTGTTTGTCACAGAACAAATAGAAGCACGTTTATGTTTCACCATCTGCGTGGCTGATGTCTAACGCTAAACCATCCTTCGTTCTATGCACATTTTGGGGAACTGTAATTTCTTTCCTCTTGGGGCCTCCGGACAATAGATTGAGTCACGTCCATGGGGCCTCCTGATACTGAAGCACCGGCCTTCCTAACAGCTATTTGAGAGCAAACGTAGGCAGTCTGCTCCTTTTGTTTTTCTTTTTTTTTTTTTTTTAAGATTTTTAAAATTTACTTATTCATTCATGAGAGACACAAAGGGGGAGGGCAGAGAGGCAGAGACCAGCGAGGGAGAAGCAGGCTCCCTGCAGGAGCCAACGTGAGACTCGATCCCGGGACTCCGGGGTCATGCCCTGGGCCGAAGGCAGGCGTTCAGCCACTGAGCCCCCCGGGGGCCCCCATTCCTCCCCTTCCTACTCCTGGCTCTCAGCACAGCGTGCAGCACGCAGCAGGTGCTCCGTGGCGATGACTGCACGTCAGGCTCCTGGACCTCCTGTTGGTGGGGTCCCTCTGGGATCTCACCCGGACTCCCTCCAGCTCCGATCGGCCACCTGGAGTAGCGGCCTAACTGCCCACGCATAGCCCCACCTCCTGCCGCGGCCCTGTTGTCGCCTCCAGGACCCGGCCTCCCCGAGAGCTGGGTTCAGCAGGTCCCTGGGGGAGACCTCGCCCCACCTGAGATGCCCCACCCGAGGGCCCAGAAGGTCCTGGTGTCCCGGACTGGGGGCAGGTCCTGTTCACAGGGGCGCTGCCCTGTCCGGGGACCCCCGTGAGATGGAGGAGACGCTGGGAGCTGCGGCTCAAGGACCCCCGCGCCGCGTGGCGGAGGACAGAGGGCATTTAGGGTCCAGCCAGGTGTGCAGGGCGCTGTTACCTGTGTGGGTGTTCAGGAGCCGGTCAGGCTGGTACCTCTTCCACATGGGCCCGGAGGACAGCGCGCTGTGGCCGCAGAGCCCGTCTCCGCTGCGAGCGGGGGAGAAGCCAGGCTGTCACCACGGTCCCGCCATCGGGGCCCAGCGCCTGTGCCACCCCAGCGGCGGCAGGTGGTGGCCTGCACCCGTCGGCGGGCCGCCCTGGGAGCAGGGAGCCCTGAGCCACCTGCTTCACCTCTTCCCGCCTCAGTTTCCACGTTGGGGGAAAGAGGACAGTTGGACCCACCTTGCTGTAGTGTGGGGACTGAGTGCGGTGACATCCGTGGGTCCCTGTACACCTGCCACGAGGGGCGCCCCCTCCGTGCTTCTCTGGGAGGGGAGCCTGTGGCCCCCCACCCCCTATGTGACACGGGCCAGGCGGGCCACACGGCAGACACCTGCCCAAGGCCTACTCAGGACGTGCGACAGCCCTCGCGCCCCAGCGAGCCGGCCGATTCCAGCTCTTTGCCCCTCTGAGCACATCAGAAAGTGAGCGAAGGCGGTGGAACGACGGGGTCAGCCCTGGACACAAGCCGGTGGGTACGTGACGCGCCCTTCACAACTGGTTGCTCACAGGAGCGGTGTTGAGACCCGCAGTCAGAGACTGAGTCACCTCCACACACAGGAGTCCACGGCACCCCTGCAGCCCCTCGCCTGCTCTGTCTGCCTTTCCCCCCCGGACCTCGCCCAAGCCCCCCGGGTGCCCCGGGTCACAGGCTGGTGCTCAGCCCACCAGGGGTCACGAAGGCAGAGCTTGGCCTCAACTGGCGGAGGGCAAGTTCCTGCTTGGCCACCTCCAGCTCTGGGACTTGGGGCAATTCCGGATCCATTTTACCTCCGTTTCCTTATCTGTAGAATGGGCAGTAAAGAGTAGCCCCTTCATGGGTGGTTGAGATGATTAAATGGAATAATGCATATTAAGTAGTTAGTGTAATAAATGGTGGCTATTATTATTATTACAGTACTTGAGAGGTCGAGAGAGGTTAGCTAAGGACAGTAGAACTCGGGGAAGTCAACGCTCCGGGAACTATTATAAGGCGTGAGTACTGGGGTGGGAAAGAGAATGGCCCGGTGATGGGTATATTTCATTTGAAACAGCAAGAAGGGGGAACTGGAGCAGGTGTGGGTCAGAAACATCAATAAGAAGGATTCATACCCTGTCCGGGGAGATGGGAGGGGGTGTGTGTGCCGCAAAAACCTGACCCTGCCACCACCTCCCATTACGTGCTTAGCGCTAGCCATCCATCCCTGTCCTACCTGGAGAAGCCCATGAGCACCGGGTTGCCTGGGCGCTGGGTCACATCCCACTGCATGCCACCGCTCTGATAAAGAAACAGGGCATAGGACCTGCTGCCGTCTGTGGAGAGGATGGCCTGGTAGGTGCTGGTCTGGAGGTTTGTTGAAGACAAACACAGGGATGCCTGTGAGCGATCTGGGGTCTCCTCCCCGATGTCCCATCACCCTCCCCACAACCCTGCCCCGATACACACATCCTCTTTCCCTAGCCTACTCAGAGCAAGCTTGGGATTGTGCAGGGCAGCTTCCCCCACTCCCCCACCCCCTGGGCTGTCAAAGCATCTACCGTGGTGGACCTGCATTTTTGTGACTTCTGTCCAGGAAGGGGTGATAAAGGGTTCTGGTTTAGGATCCAGTTAGAAGAGAGTTTGTGTGAGAAAGCTTCAGGACTCAGAAAGATTGGCCACGACCCCAGAGAGCCGAGAGAGGCCTACTTAGCTTCCTCTGGGATATTTGTAAAGACATTGTTCAAATGTCCCCTCAACCTAAATAGCGTGGATGGACCACAGAGGTGGGACTGGAGGCTCTCTGAAGGCAGATGCCAAGCACTGTGCTTGTACAAAGTAGGAAACCGATGAACTTGTTGAACCAATGAGGAAACGAGTGACTTTAGACCACACACAGGGGTCTAAAGTCCCCGGGCGGAAGACTGAGGACACTGTGTGCTGTGACCATGGCCACTGGCTGGCTTTGCAGCTGAGAGCTGGAGTTGGAAGTCAGAAAGCCTCCATTCCAAGCCTGGCTTTGTCACTTACTAGCTGGGTGACCTTGAGCAGATCATCTAACCTCTCTAACCGTCATCCTCCTCATCTCTAAAACGTGGATAATAATATCAGGTTGAGCCATCTCAAAAATGGGTGGCTACTGGCAGCCACTTCTGACTTACAAAAATTCCATTTCCTATGTTTTAAACCAGTGAGTATCGGTGAGTGCTCAGCAAACAGGGTGGGGGTGAGGGGGTGCTATCATCAGCAATCCGTCCTTGAGTCAGGGCAGATGTTAGAAGAGTGGCCCCTGCCTAGGGTTCCAGGATGTATGACTTCCAGATGGTTCGCAGGACGTTGTCCATTGATCCACTCACCCCGAAGGTCCGCCTGGCAGGATAGGCAGGGGCATTCACCCAGGTGACCTTTAGGGTCCACTTGGCTTTGTAGTTCCTGGTGTCAGTGAATTTATTAATCCAAGACTCCACCTGCCGGACTAGCAGGTTGTGTTCATGATAGAGCATGTCATATTCCTAGGAAAGGAAGGCAGAGAAGACAAGGAAACGAGGGTCCCACCTGCAGGTCACCTCACAGTTGTGACAGGGGATTCCCGAGTGTATGTAACAGCCCTGCTCTGTTTCCTCCCCACCCTCATATTTATTTATTTATTCCCCCCCACCTCATATTTAAACATCAGTCTCTGCCCACAGGGAGCCCAGGCTCTGACAGCAGTCACGCTTGCCCACGTTCACACCTTTGTCTCTCCTTGCTGGCTGCTGGGAGATCCTGAATGCTGGACTTTGAAAGGCTCACCTGGTAAAATATGGTTCCCTGGCCACTGGAAAAATCAGCATCGTCCCAGAATGGAGCCACCATGGCCACAGGGTCCCTGCCTGTGAAGCCTCTAAGGGGAGGATTGGGGTAGGAGAAAATCTGGTACTCTGACTCCGGGAAAATGATCTGGCCATTATCTGTGAACTGGGAACACAGAAGTTCTTCTGGTTAGTGTCCAGGGAGGGAGGGAGCGGGGGAGGCAGGGAGAGAACTTCCCAGGCGTGGGCCAGCTCCTCAGAAGTGTGATCCCCAAGGACATCTCTGGGTGGAACTTTAGGGATGTCAACAACCACTGCCAGGTCGTCCCATTCATCCCCGCCTGCTGGGGCCCCCTTGCTTAGTCCTCACACAGATGCTCTTCACCTGCAGGACACTCCTCTGTTTTAAGTCCTTCCTGACAAGGTAGGTTTTGCCCTGCCTCAGCGGCCAACCCCATCCATAGACGGCCCCAGCGCAGAGCGGAGCCCTCTGGGTGGATCCCCACGGAACCGTCCTGAAGTCCCAGCAGCATCAGATGGGGCTAAGAGGATTGCTCCCCTGGGTCCCATCGCGGTGTTGCCCTACCTTAGGGTGTCCTGCCTCAGCCCGCCACCCCGCCCCTGAGGGCTGCGGGGGCCATGGCTGCCATTCCAACTCTCCTCCAGGAGACGTGGCTACTTGGCCTGAGGAACCAGGAAACATTCATAGAAAATGTACACAGCATTAAAAGGCCGTTTCCCAAATAGAGCTTTCTCCTCATAAAAAGGCCCTGAAAGTAGTGGAGAGCTTACTGAACCCCGAGACCTCTATAGTAAGGTAAAGATACTTTTGTCCCTGAGGGTAGGAGGGCCTTGCCTAGCTCCCAGTTGCTTGTCGCATACTTCCTTCCTCTGGGCCATGGTCACGGTCACAGGGCCATCGCCAAGCCCTAGAGAGAGAAGTAGAGTCTGGGAAGCACAGGTCACAGGTCCTCCCTTTGGTCTACACCTGGGGACTCACATAGAGGTAATCCCGGAGAGAGGAGCCAAGAAGGAAGCCAATCTGGGGCCTGAAGAGTGGTGAGGTGAAGTCCGTGGTCCTCTCGACAAACTCCCTGTCTCCAACACTTGGCCCGTAAGGGAAGAGGGAAACGCCTGGGCCAGCAGGACAAAGAAAAGAAGGTATTTCTCCAGATACATGGGTAGATACCCCTCCCCCCCCCCAATTTCTCCTTGGACCCCTTAGATGTCCTTGGGTTCTAGCTTGAGAAAGCTTGTCTTAAATATTCCTCAAACGGGTCTCCCCCTTTCGTTCTTGGCAGCCCTCCCTGTTGGCCTGGATACCACCGCATCTCATACGGCCCCCTCGGCCTCCTGGAAATCCACCCAACACCACCACCATCCAAGTATAAACCTGGCCGGGTCCTACCTGATTCCATCACATGACGGCCTCATTCTCAACATTCTTCACCTGGTTTCCACACCCCCAGGTGTCTTGGGGGTCTCCTCCCCATGCAATACTGGGACTCCTTTTCATGTCTACACTTTTATTCCAGTTCCTCAAGCCCTCTCGCCTCCTTGGGATGCTTCTCCTTCTCCAGCTCCTATTCATTCTTTCCAGGAAGCCGCCTCTTTGCCTTGAGCATACCCCGACCTCCCCTGGGACCTTCCATTGTGCCCAATACCCTGCATTTATTCCTCTAACTGCACCTATCAAGGCAGCAGGTCCATCTCTTACTAAACAGCATCGTGGTCACTTCTTCTCTCCACCTCCCAGCCTGGTGCCATGTACAGAGCCAGCCCTCAGCACCCAACTCTGATGCTGTCCCATAGCCCACTGTGGGAGTTGACGACCCAAGAGAGTCTATGAGCAGGTGGGCTGAGACGAGTCTTCAGTTCCATCTCCCCTCTAAAGGGGATAGGGGAGCAGCTGGACTACCGACGGCCCAGAGGAGGCAGCACACATCCCCACAGAACCAGCTCTCCCTGCTCCCCCAAAAGAGCCCTCACTGGTAGATCTAATGGAGCTGCCAAAACTACGGCATCCACATCTAGCTCAGATCTCTATATCCCAGAGTGGAGGGACCCCACCTCTCCAGGGACATTTACCTTTTTCTGGCTTGATGGGGACTGGGGCAGCCGTTGAGTGTGCCGTGGATGCTGCCGGAGAGAGAGTAGTGAGCGTCCGGGAGGTTGTGGACGATAGTGATGTTGTGCTACTCTGACTGCCTTTCGCCAGGGAGGTTACCATCGTTCCTGGGCATATGGGAGAGAAGATTGGAGTGGGTCTTATTATCTGAAAGTAGCAAACAGTGTCACAGATTTCAGGAGATGGAAGAAGCTCTCTCGTCCATCTTCTGCTCAAACCCAAACTGCTCCCGACAGTAAGAAACAGTCCTCTGGGGTAGAGTGGATGGTCCGCCTGTCACTCTCCACACTTGCACTCAATTCGACTTCTACTGGAACTGCCCTCAAACTAGGCGCACGCACCATCATCGCTCAGGCCCTCCTCTAGGTGGAACTGAATGAATGAGGCCACAGTGAGAGACAAATATACCGGACTCCCAGCCTACCTGAAGTCTGAGTGCTCAGAGTGCGGCTGGAGAAGGCTGTTGAGTGTCGCTCTACTACAGTTGTCATTGAGCCTGTTGAGCTGACTGGGGTAACACTTCCCGTGACACCTGGTGCCATGAGCCCTGTGTTGCCAGCAGTGCTGTTTCCTACTATTGGCTCTTCATGGACCTGTGATGTCGTTGCTGATGTGTTGCTTCCACTGGAAAATGATGAGGTGTCACCAGGGGAAGCTGATGGCGTGGCTCTTTCTGTCACTGCGGAAGGTGTGTGGCTGACACTGGAAGGGGACGAAGGGCTTAGTGTGCCAGACAAGGCCGTGTCCTGAATCGTGCCATCTGTACGTGTGTGTTCACTTTGGGAGGATGAGGGAGTGGATGTGATCATCGCTGAGACACTGCTGGCTCCAGACTCAGTGTTGGTCTCCATGGTCTGGGTCGAGTGACCCTGAGATGACGCTGTTGTCTCTAGGGTAGACATCAGGGAAGAGTGTGCTGTTGAGTGTCCCCCTGGCCCACTTGTCATTGAGTCTGTTGAGGTGACTGGTGTAACACTTCCTGTTTCAGCTGGTGACATGTGTCCTGTGGTTCCTGCTGGGGTGTCTGTTGCAATCGGTGTCGTCGGGACCTGTGATGTCATTGGTGATGTGTTGCTTCCACTGGAAGATTCTGAAGTGTCATCAGGGTAGGCTGATGGTGTGGGTATTTCTGTCACTGTGGAAGGTGTGTGGCTGACACTGGAAAGGGACGAAGTACTTGGTGTGTCAGACAAGGCCGTGTCCTGGGTCATGCCATCTGTAGGTGTGTGTTTACTTCGGGAGGATGAGGGAGAAGATGTGATCATCACTGAGACACTGCTGGCTCCAGACTCAGTGCTGGTCTCCACGGTCTGGGTCATGTAACCCTGAGATGACTCTGCTGTCTCTGGAGTAGAAGTCAGGGAAGAGTGTGCTGTTGAGTGTGCCCCTGGTCCACTTGTCATTAGGCCTGTTGAGCTGATGTGGGTAACACTTCCCATTACCGGTAGTGACGTGTGCCTTGTGGTTCCTGCCGAGGTGTCTGTTGCAATCGGTGGTGTTGTAGGGACCTGTGATGTCGTCGGTGATGTGTTGCTTCCACTGGGAACCAATGAGGTGTCACCAGGGGAGGCTGATGGCATGGCCATTTCTGACACTGTGGAAGGTGTGTGGCTGACAGTAGAAGGCGATGAAGTGCTTGGTGTGTGAGACAAGGCCATGTCCTGGGTCAAGTCATCTGTAGTAGTGTCTCCTCTTCGAGAAGATGAGGGAGAGGATGTGATCATCGTTGAGACACTGCTGGTTGCAGACTCTGTGCTGGTCTCCACGGTCTGGGTCATGTGACCCTGTGATAATGCTATTGTCTCTGGAGTAGAAGTCAGGGAAGAGTATGCTGTTGAGTGTCCCCCTGGCCCACTTGTCATTGAGCCTATTGAGCTGACTGCTGTAAGACTTCCTGTTTCAGGTGGTGACATGTGTCCCGTGGTTCCTGCTGGGGTGTCTGTTGCAATCGGTGTCGTCGGGACCTGTGATGTCATTGGTGATGTGTTGCTTCCACTGGAAGATATTGAAGTGTCACCAGGGGAGGCCGATGGTGTGGCCATTTCTGATAGTGTGGGAACTGTGTGGCTGACACTGGAAGGGGACAAAGTACTTGGTGTGTCAGACAAGGCCGTGTCCTGGGTCGAGTCATCTGTAGTTGTGTGTTGACTTTGGGAGGATGAGGGAGTGGATGTGATTGCAGCTGAGACACTGCTGGTTGCAGACTCTGTGCTGGTCTCCATGGTCTGGGTCATGTGACCCTGAGATGACGCTGTTGTCTCCAGAGTAGAAGTCAGGGAAGAGTGTGCTGTTGAGTGTCCCCCTGGTCCACTTGTCATTAGGCCTGTTGAGCTGATGTGGGTAACACTTCCCATTACCGGTAGTGATGTGTACCTTGTGGTCCCTGCTGGGGTGTCTGTTGCAATTGATGTTGTGGGGACCTGTGATGTCATTGGTGATATGTTGCTTCCACTGGGAAACGAAGAGGTGTCACCAGGGGAGGCTGATGGCGTGGCCATTTTTGACACTGTGGAAGGTGTGTGGCTGACACTGGAAGGGGACAAAGGGCTTGGTGTGCCAGACAAGGCCGTGTTCATGTCCCGGGTCATGCCATCTGTAGGTGTGTCTTCACTTTGGGAGGATGAGAGAGTGGATGTGATCATCGCTGAGACACTGCTGGCTCCAGACTCAGTGTTGGTCTCCATGGTCTGGGTCGAGTGACCCTGAGATGATGCTGTTGTCTCCGGAGTAGAAGTCAGGGAAGAGTGTGCTGTTGAGTGTCCCCCTGGTCCACTTGTCATTGAGTCTGTTGAGGTGACTGGTGTAAGACTTCCTGTTTCAGGTGGTGACATGTGTCCCGTGGTTCCTGCTGGGGTGTCTGTTGCAATCGGTGTCGTCGGGACCTGTGATGTCATTGGTGATGTGTTGCTTCCACTGGAAGATACTGAAGTGTCATCAGGGGAGGCTGATGGTGTGGGTATTTCTGTCACTGTGGAAGGTGTGTGGCTGACACTGGAAAGGGACGAAGTACTTGGTGTGTCAGGCAAGGCCGTGTCCTGGGTCATGCCATCTGTAGGTGTGTGTTTACTTCGGGAGGATGAGGGAGAAGATGTGATCATCTCTGAGACACTGCTGGCTCCAGACTTAGTGCTGGTCTCCATGGTCTGGGTCATGTAACCCTGAGATGACTCTGCTGTCTCTGGAGTAGAAGTCAGGGAAGAGTGTGCTGTTGAGTGTGCCCCTGGTCCACTTGTCATTAGGCCTGTTGAGCTGATGTGGGTAACACTTCCCATTACCGGTAGTGACATGTGCCTTGTGGTTCCTGCCGAGGTGTCTGTTGCAATCGGTGGTGTTGTCGGGACCTGTGATATTGTTGGTGATGTGCTGCTTCCACTCAGAGATATTGAAGTGTCACCAGGGGAGGCTGATGGTGTGGGTATTTCTGATAGTGTGGGAACTGTGTGGCTGACACTGGAAGGCGATAAAGTGCTTGGTGTGTCAGACATGGCTGTGTCCTGGGTCTTGCCATCTGTAGGTGTGTCTTCACTTTGGGAGGATGAGGGAGTGGATGTGATCATCGCTGAGACACTGCTGGTTGCAGACTCTGTGCTGGTCTCCATGGTCTGGGTCATGTGACCCTGAGATGATGCTATTGTCTCCAGAGTAGAAGTCAGGGAAGAGTGTGCTGTTGAGTGTCCCCCTGGTCCACTTGTCATTAGGCCTGTTGAGCTGATGTGGGTAACACTTCCCATTACCGGTAGTGATGTGTACCTTGTGGTCCCTGCTGGGGTATCTGTTGCAATTGATGTTGTGGGGACCTGTGATGTCATTGGTGATATGTTGCTTCCACTGGGAAACGAAGAGGTGTCACCAGGGGATGCTGATGGTGTGGCCATTTTTGACACTGTGGAAGGTGTGTGGCTGACACTGGAAGGGGACAAAGGGCTTGGTGTGCCAGACAAGGCCGTGTTCATGTCCTGGGTCGTGCCATCTGTAGGTGTGTCTTCACTTTGGGAGGATGAGAGAG